ATGCCCCAAGTCAAGGTGTGGCTGGTTCCCAGACCAGCTCCCTGTTTCCTGGTTTATGTTTGTTGCTGTAGATCCATTGCTGCCTTCTAGCATTGCTTCGTGTCACACTTGTCACCATGAGCTGGCAGCCTCACATAAATAGGAAACCTCCCTGGCACTGTCTGTCAGGTGGCCTTGCTCAGCCTGATCCCAGCTGAGGAGGTGTGCTGAGCTTGGCCAAGCCACAGGGCTTACATATCATACCATACCTGGCCACTTGCAACAGCAAGAAGGGTTGCCTGATTGCCAAGGCGGGCAGGAAGGGAAAGAAGGCAATTTCCTGGCCATGCTGTGAATTTTAGAGAAAAGATACATATGTGAGATTTTTTAGGAAGGGGGGATGACAGGCTTACGTTCAGTGAGACACTTGGGCAGCGGAGCTCAAAAGAGTGCTCCCTTGTCGTGCAGCCAGAGGAAGGGTAGGATTGGTGCCCGAGCGCTGGGGTGAACAGAATTAAGGCAGAGATTGAACTGGGAGGTTGGCCGGTGTGCTTTCATGGCTTGGGAAAGAGAGGAAAAGGAGGGACGTGCCAGCTGGATTCGAGTACATGTACCTGCAAGCAAATGTGAAGTGTCTGCAAAGTTTTATAGGACTGGTCTGGTCCTATAGGTCTCACAGAGAAGCCAAAGAGTAAAGCCTATGAAATGTATGTGTGGTTCTGTACATGCCCTCACCCCTTCTCTTTCTGTCCACTGAAAGTGCACTACTCCTACATATGAAGCACAGAGCTTGTGGTAGGTACTACTTTGTTTCAGTGGATTGGCAGGTTTTCCTGGCTGCCGTAAGGACAGTGCTTAGACTGGGACAATGTTCTTGAAGGGCCTTGTCGTGCTTTGCAGGGTAATTCTTCAGAATACTTTATGCCCCCTTGGAAGTTATCACTGTTGGTGCCTGTGCTTTTTGATGTCATTTTGCTGGATAATCACTGGCATTGCCTGCCTCTAAGCGCTCAATGTATCATACAGCTGCAATTTAATTTTTCCCTCTTAAAACTCCCACTGAGAGAATTGGTGTGGTTGGTGACCAGGGCAGGTATTCGGCTGTGTCAGTCCTCACAGGATGACTTCTCTGAAAAACAGGCAAAACTGTAATTACAGCTAAAGCCTCCTATTTCTTCTGTTTAATCGTGTATGGCTGGCAGCGAGGATGTCAATAAAAAAGCAGTGATGTTCTTTTTAAATTGATATTAATGGGAATAGACACATGGGGAGAGATACATGAGAACTGCTTCCAGCCTAGAAGCAGCAGCTGCAGAAACAAGCGTTACTTGTTTATCAAGACCGTGGTACGCCCAAGAAGAAGAAAATGCACAAGGCTGGGATTCAGTGGTTGGGTTCCAGGTCTCAGCCCTGCTAATGGTTGCCTGAGAGCCCTAGGTAAATCATCTCACTTCTTTCTTCCCGTTCTCTCCATTCGCTTATACTGGGAGCTCCCTGAGCCAAGGGCTGTCTCATGAAGCTGAGTGCTAGCCAACCACCCTCATCTTATGGGCCACGTCCCCAAATGCCCACATGGCCTGGGACTGCTCTCTGATCCTGAGACCAACAGTTGGTTTACTTCTGTTTGCCTTTTTTTTTTCCGGAATATCTAATCTCAACTGTTTGGTGATTGAATGACTCAGAGCGGCAGGACACTTTCACCACTTGAAAGCCAACAGCGCAGGTTTCACAACAGAGGATGGCTTGTTGCGGGGACTGGTTGGGCTGTTGTTCTCTTGAGCATGGGTGAGGGGGTTTTGGCGAAAGCGGCTTTCATGTGGGGTCAGGGTCAGAGAGGACTGCAGAGGCAATTACTCTGTCTCCAGTGGGATCGCCTCCGCTTGCCACAGGCTTCAGCTCGTCTCGCCCCAGCAGTGAGTCACACATTGTGACTGAGCTGGTTAGGCCCAGGCAGGGAAGGGAGAACAGCAAGGGATCAGAGCTGGAGGCATCTCCAGACCCTGCCTGACCCCCAGGCTGGAGTCAGGCCGGGACCAGAACAGGGGCAGCTTAGAGGTCCCACACATTTCCTTTTTCCCATGGCCACTCTCTCGGCCTCCTCTGTTCTGTGGATCCCCTGGAAACCCCAGCTTCTGCCTCGTGCAAAGGGATCTGCTTCATCTGGTACCACTTCTGTCATGGTGCCCTTTCTTCCCCATACCCTCTGCTAGGGGATGTCCACTTACACAGACGCTGTGTCTTAAGCACAGCCTCTCGGCTTAATTCACTGATCATCCACATTGTTCCACCTGCCCTTGACATGATGTTCCCTCGCCCACGTTGGCTATGGAAACCCCCTTAGAAGGGCCCCAGCGTTGCTCACAATGAAGCAGATGGGATTTCTAAGCAGCCTGAATTGTCTCTTAATGGACTTGTAGAAGCAGATGTTGGAGCCCCTGGGTTTCAGGCAGCTGAGGTACTGTGTAGGTGTTCTCTGTATCTTTTCTGCTATAATCTGTATCATGGTAAGAGGTCTGCAACCTTCTTTTTCCCTCCTACAGCAGCCTGCAAACTAGCACTGATAACAGTAAATAAGTGAGGCTGGTTTAGTTTCTTCTGTGATTCTGGAAACTAGGGCCCTAGCAAGTGCCTTCATCTGGCAGTGGGGAGAGGATGTCCTGGTTTTGACCTAAGTTAGAACCACCCATTTTTGTTGCTCAAGTCTGTAGAAGCAAAGGGGTGAATTATGTCCAAAACAGGGACTGCTGGGGTGACCTTGAGATCTTGGACCCTTTTACAGCCAAAATCCTTTGGGGTGAGGGGAAGAGAGCCTGCATTCCTGATATTATTAAAGTGGACATTGTTAATTATGTGTGAGGGTGGATTACTGCATGGCATGCAATGAGTCATTAATGTTAATCAATCAGAAGTACAAGGAATATGCCTTCTTCTTTATTAACAATGACCTCCTGGAGGGACTTTTCCCCTATGGTGGAAAGGAAATATGCTGAGGGAAGAAAGACAGAAAGAAAGAAATAATAATGCAATTAAATGAGAGGTATTAAGGCATGTTTGTGATCTCCCTCTCCTCATTCTGGGCCTTGATTCAAATCTCATTGAATGTATTCAGCTATGTTATGTGTTCTTGAGCAATAACCTTGCTTGGGCTGGTTTTGCAACCAGAAGTTCAATTAAAAGCCATATTGACAGCTCCCCAAATTCACAGTTTACTTCTCCAGGAAAGATCTGATATTCAAGAAGGATGCAGAAGGATCATACAGGACAGGTCTTCACCCAGTGCAAGCTGACTTCAGTCCAGTGAACTCCAAATGATTTGTGGTATTGTGGCACTTAAGCACTGAACTCCTTGCTCGTGCCTGCAGATGCTGTACCAGCGTAGGAGAAAGAAGCAGCTCTTACCGCTCAGAGCTTTAAATGACTGTGTAACATGAACAGCGAGATCTAGGCAGAGGGACACAGTGGCAAGCAGCAGAAAGACAGGGCTTTAATGCACTACCTTCCTGTCCACTGCTTTATTTTTTTTTTCCTCAACAAAACAAAGTCTTATCCTGGAATTTGAAGGAAAAAGAGAAGGTGGCTTTGGGAGTAGTTTAGATGAATAGTTTTGGACGAGAATTGAATTTTTCCTTGGGAAGCCAACAAGGGGCTCGGGAGACATGGCCTCATCTTTGAAAGACAGAGACAGCCAAGGCATTGGTCCTGCTTCTGCTGTTTGCATCAAGAAAGCATTACCCCAGCAGAGTGACATTATTTGGGTGCTTGTGTGTTTTCAAGCCCAGAATTGGAGTGCTGGACTGTAAACCCTCCAGGCTTCTCTCTTTGTACAGACTCAGCACAGTGGGACCGTGCTTGCTTTGCTCAGCACAGTGGGACTTCTAGGTAGATAATGCTGCTTGATGCCGAAGCGGCCGTGGCATACGTGTAATGACTGCCTCAAGGCATGCTCAGTTGCTCTCTATTTTTGTAGTGAATTGCAGCCGTGGTAAATAAGGCCTTTTTGTTGTTGAGTGATTTTCTACTAGGTAAGAAACTGTTCAGCTGGAGTCCTGAAGTTTAACAGCCAGTATCTAAGTGCCTGGTGGAATACTTCGACCTGACACGGAATGATTCAGAGTAACTGGAAAGAAAATATCAAGTGTCAGTGTGGTTAATTAATTCCACATCCAGCTGCCTAACTTCTCTTTATTCTGTCCCCGCTGATTTTAGAGGTGCTGGCATTTGAAAAGAGGAAGGGTTGAACACATAACATCAGTGCATTCTCTAAATGAGACTGCTCGCCTGATCGGGAAGTAACTCTTCAAACATCCGAGTGGCAATTTAGATTTTAAAAACAGTGATCTCTCAAGAATATAGGCTCATGCATCATTTTTATTCCCCTGGCTGCTCTCAGTTACTCAGGTAGTTTTTTTATTGGATAGGTGTCTGTGTGTATGTTCGTATGTGCGTGGTTTTATTAGTTTATTCTCAGACTTGTAAGAAACATCTTTTGCCTAATAAATATCCCTGAGTACTACATGTTGCTGCTGGGCTGGTGCAGTGATGTATCATCACAGCCTTGCTAACCCTTATGGATTTGGTTTCCTCTCAGAGATCTCACAATAATTTGCAGATTTTTTGTCAAGTTCCAGCCCCTGGACTCACACGAACATATGCGAACCCTGTTATTCATTATACTGCATTTGGTTCTGGCTGCCAGTTTGGCAGAGGAAAACTGGGAAATCTAACCCGGATTTATGATTGACATATTTAAAAAAGGAATCAAAAAGCAGATAAGCATTTAGATTGTATTGTTTTTGAGATATTTCAAAGATAACCTCCTAGCTTTAGGGAGCATGATTACTGGTTTTTCAACATCTGAGGTTTGCTATCTGGTTGCTTAGTGACGGCAAAAACTGTTGCCCCTCTTGCAGGTCCTGGTTTCCACCCTGAGTGCTGTGCAGAGATTAGAGCTTTGCAGGTTGGCTTTCCAACCCTGCAGGAACCAGCGTGGGGCTGTACTGTATGTGATTATCTTTAGACAAATGCAGATAGCAGGCCTGGAGTGGAGGTACCCAGGTAATGTGCAAGGGACTGCAATAATGGCGATTTTTCTGGGAAGCGCAGCCATACTCTGAAACTCAGTGCCCAGAGAACAGCTCTGCGTACACGTCAGGAATCACCAGAGCTGACAGCAGATGACAAAATCCCTCACGCTTATATATATTCTTTTCCAAAAGAACACATGCCCCTGTGTTTATTTTCACACTATGAAAGCAAACTTGGGAACATGGCCCATAGCAGCACTACCTGTTGATGTGTGCCACCATACCTTCACCTGCCATTTCTATTGTCCATGTCTTTATGAGCTTGATCATACGAATCTTGCTGTTGAATTAAACTGGGCATTTTATCTTTCAGTCCCACTGAGACAGAGCTGCCCATATAACTATCTAACTGGAGAATGGTCTGGCTGACTGTATTTCACAGGATTCTCTGCGCCCGTACAGATGGCAATAGGCTTTGGCTGGAGGCTAAAGGACATTTATTTGAAGGATTTTCTGCAAATATGAACAAATCTATGAAATCTAATAGCTGGACTTGTAAAAGCAAAGCTTTCATGTTTGAGAAATATATTTTTTGAGTGGTAGAGAATGAAGAAAATGTTACCTAATTTATTACTGAATGCCTGTGAAAGACTTAATGCTCATAAAACCAGCAGCATGCCAGAGGGAATGGAGTGGATCCTGCAGCGGGTCTCTGCACGTTTCCTTGCAAAGCTATGCCAAACCTCCTTAATCCTGATCTTAATTACTTCAGTGGAAGGCATTTGCTGAACAAAGAACTGTGACTGTGTCAAGTCTGTGCACTGAGGTTTGTGAGGAGGCCAAAATACCCAGCCAGGGTGGAACTGGGGTCCACCAGCACCAGAGCATTGTGGCTGAGCTCTTAAGATTTCAAGTGAAAGGCCTGATCCATGCAGCTCTTCCTACAGGAGTCGGGCACTTGACCCCCCAATAAATTACAATAAAAGTAAAGCTTCCTTGTCCTTGCCCTGTTGTCATGTTCATAAAAGCCTAATTATTATCCAGCTGGCAATCTGAGAAGGGGGTACGTTCACACAATTTAATTCTTCCTGCTCAAATAAATCCTTGTAAGCTAGCCAGCCAGTGCGTTCGGTCCCTTTTTTACAGAAGTATGTTACGCAGATTGCTGGGAAAAGGTTGTTCAAATTTTTGTTTGTGAACAGCTTTACAGATAAGTGTTGACCTCCTAGGTGCTGAGACCCAGTCTTTGCTATTCCCTGCACCCTTCTAAGGTTCTTCTTTAAGGTTTGTGCTGGTGGCATTTTACAGCTCAGTGTCATCAGCTGCATTGCATGCTGTGATCTGGCTTTCTGTCTCCCTGCTTGGATGACTGAAACTCTTGAACGGGAGCGAACTGACTGCCAGCCCCTGGATACGAAGCAGCCTTGCTCACTCACAAATAACCATATTCTTGTTTGAGTAAAAGTACTGCTCTCAAAGTGAGTCTTTGCTTGAAGGATGGCTAGCTATAAATGTGGGATGCAGCATGGCCTAAGGATTAACTGTGGGGATCTTCTATGTATTAGTTTATTAATGATAATAGATGCGGTACTCTTATTTATGTATAAGAATATGTACTCTTCTGAAAAGCCCTGTGATGTTTTGGAGTGGGCTGGTCTTTTTGCTGAATGTACATGCATAGACCAGCGTGTGAACAGCTGGCTGGGTGAATTTTGGGGTTATTCACAATTTCACTTCCCTCTTGAGGGAAAAATCTCAGTGGCCAAATATCCTCGTTTGTCTGATATGGGTGACTGTCTGGTTGTGCTTGCAAGCTACCTTGACTTCCTAAGGATCTTGCAATTGTTAAACATAATAAACGTCCCTGCCCCTTCCCAATGCTTCAAATCCAACAAGCACTGTGTAGAAAAGAGCTTAACTCCTTTCTAATGAGAAGGAGCCAGGAATCATGCTGGCAAGTCAGCCCCTTGAGAACAGGCTGTTCTCTGCACTCAGATGTTTCGTGCACCAGAGTTTTGCTTCCCCATCCCCAAAAAAGCCTTAACCAGGCAGAATTTGCTGTTCTGAAATGCTGCGCAGACAGAAACCGTAACCACTTCAAAACCTAGCACAGAGGTTGTACATATATAGGGATTGTGCACATCCAGGCTATGCACCGTTGGTTTGTCTTCCAACAAGAAATTAATGCAGTTACTTGACAGCACAACAATTGTCTCTTAAAAAACAAAAACCAAAACCATAAAACAGTTGTGACTGTTGTGTCTGTCTGCGCAGTGCCATGCAACGCAAAGCAGCCTGGCATTGGGCTGCCTGCTGGCTTGGCGCTGCTGGGAACATAGCGGAGGAGCTCGCTTCAACCGAGAAAAACTCGAGGTTCTGGATGGCCCTTTAATTGTGGGTTCTTGCAAGCATTAGGGATTTCTAGTCTTGCTCCCCACAAAGGGCCTTCATCATAAATATGTATATGTGTAGTTAAGGGGTGATATCGCGCTTAGTGAACACCCAAATTTGTGCTATGTCCTAAAGCCCTTGGACGTAGCAGTAGTGAAGTTGTGGCTATGAGCTGTTGTCAAGGGGGGACAGGAGTGATTCGATTGATAGAGAGGAGAACTGTGGTGTGGCTAGTGTACCACCTTCTCCTGGGGAGCTTGGGGAAACTCTGGACAGACGCCATGCTACTGCAGAGGAAACTCTTTCCTCTCTGGGCTTCCTGGGACCCGTGAAGCCTCAGAGCATGAGCTCTAGTCTTTGCAGGCTTCTCCGCTACACTTTGTTTCTCTGCTGTGTGCAGATTGTGGCCCAAACTTGAAGAAATACTCCTTCTTTATGGCCTGGCTTTTCTTTTCCACTAAGCAAACTTCTGTTGAAACATCTGACCGTTTCACTCCAACTTTAGAGCTTGCTGCTGGAAGAGACAGGAATGGACAGTACCCCAGCAGGCTGCTGGAGGGCCAGTTTCAGCACAGCACACAAACGTACACTTAATTTTAGGCTTATTTTTAACTGTGTGAAGTCACTGGTATTCTTCAGAAGCTAAGCTTAAACATGCGCTTTGTGCTTCTGATTGGATTGGAGACTGAGGACAGAAGTCATTTTCCTGTCAGCTCTGAACCAAACAATTCCTGTGGAAGAAAAAAACATCTAGTGAGAACTAATGAATACAAATCTTAAGCAGTAAAGCTATTTCTCCTGCAGTCTAAAGCAAACAAATACATAAGAAGAAGAGTACAGAAGAAAAGGGAATGGCTGAATTATTCTTAGTAAATACAAGCTAATGCAGCAGTTAAAGGCACCAGGTTGCATAAAATCTCTGGTGATAATTTTGAATATATGCTATTACCGTGCCAGCATTTATATTTCTCAGAGTGAAAAAGGATGCTGGTGTAGGGGATTTTTTTGCTAACATCCCAAGTGCACCACTACTTCACTTAAATCAGCATCCACTATCAATACTGTTGGCTTCATTGCTTCAGTTGCACAATCTGACCATAACTGATTGCTTGCAGTTACTTGAAATGCAGCTTTTCTGCTGGCAATTACTTTATTTACTGCTTGCTTGTAAAACAATAATGCCTTCCCTCCGGGGCACAAAGGCAGATTAACATCAGTAATTACTAAAGCAGATGTTTGTATGCGAATGCCCATTTCTTAGAGGCAGATTATCTTCTGCATTGGCATAAGGGAAAGGGATTCAAAGCGTGATGCTGTCGTCCCAGAAGTGATGTGAGCGCCGTGGGACTCAGCAGAGAGAGCTGGGTAGCTGCGCCCACCTCACCTCCATCTCACAGGAATCGCTGTCTGCAGGGTGATAATCGTTCACCTTACTGAGATCAGTCCTGAGAGTTGTTGGCATTTAATTCCTAAAAGTGACTGCCAGTGACTGAACAGGGCTCGGTGCTACTTGCACATGCTTCCTGTTGGGTTTTTTTCTTTTTTTTTCCTGTTCCCAAGAAATCTAGGGCTGTGCATTCAAGAGAGCTCAACACCTAGATGGAGGGCCTGTGTTTCCTAATAGCTCTGTTCCCACTGAATTTCCTAAAGGGTGCACTCAGCACTAAGTGCTAAGCTTATTTAAAGTAGACACTCATTAGCTCCTTCCAGGCTACCCTCAAGAGCAAAGGCAGCATGGTTGTGCCTCAGAGGACTGGAGGGAGGGTCTTTACTAATCTGGTTGTACTGCCAGGAATGAAATATGTTCACAGCAGCCCTTTGGTGCTTTTGAAGCCTGTCCTGGCACATAGTGTTCTTCAGCTGAAGAATAGCTTTGCAGTCTATCCAGAAAAGCCACCCCTCTCTGCTTGTGGCAAGAGCTTGCCAGCATATGAAGGCGTGTGTACATGCAGAAGAGATTTGGCCATGGTCCTGGTTCCCTGGGGACTTTCAGATCAGCTTCCTAGATTTCAGAGACCCGCCTTTTGAAGCCAAGAGCAAAGATAGGGCCATGATTTTCCTTCCGTAGACAAGTCATGGCATTGCCTCCATTCCTCTCCTGAAAAAAAATGCCTCTGCATGCCAGAGCAGGGAGTGGACAGAGGTGGCCATGGGTCTCGAAGGAAGGCAGAGGCTCCCTACTGCTCACGCCATCACTGAATATAAGCTGGTATGGGATGGGTTCATTTCCATAAGCAGAGGGCACTCTTCATCAGCAGTGAAACGGCTTTGCCTTTGGTATTGAATCACTCTCAGCCCTGTCTCATAAACTGCTGACTTGTCTTGCTCAAGAGGCTTTCACCCTTTGAAAGTGACCCTTTTACATAACACCTCCTGTCCGTCACCTTGTGTTAGTTACGCGGCGCAGTGGGAGGAGAAGGGGGAACCATGTCAGCACCCCACCCTTCGCTGCTCTAGATTCATGGAGCGGGATGCAAAGCACTGACCCCAGCGTAGATTTGGCCTGCTGTCCGTCGGTTAAGAGAAATTGAAACCAGATGTTTAGTGTTTGATCATGCTTTTCCCATTGTTCCGGCCTCTATCACAGTAATAGGAACTGTTATTCTTGATTAAAGGCTAGTTGCTTTTTCAAACATCCTAGTTGCTTTTTCAAACATCCTAGTTGCTTTTTCAAACATCCTTGTCTAATTGTACTTTGAAAGACATGTCACAGTATTCCAGAGGTCTTCAGTTAGCTACTGAGTAGAGACATCTATAATTGTTCCTTTGGATGTTAAAAGAGGTGAGGGATGTCAACAGCAAGGGCAAGGAATGAATGTAGCAGTTATCTGGAGAAACGAGTATGCCTGGTCACATAAAAAGTTCACCAGTCCTGAGTGACATTGAAACACAGGCAAAAGGTAGATGAAAATATATTGGATACTGCACAGATGCTGTTGAACCAACCGTGTAAGAAGACACTAAAACTCTATTTTTCTGGCTGTACTGATAGCACACAGTATAACAAACTTCTGCAATGTTATCATGAGTCTCCTGCTGCTTGGTATAGTCCTTAAATTACCTGCTCCTTTGGTCATCTGGTTATTTGAGAATTTCTGTTTTATTTATATTAAAAAGGCACATCTGATGATAGAGAAAAATGGTTGCGCCCTTCAGAAACAAAAGGACAAAATGCAGTTTTATTTCATGAACCAGGTTCCCTTTATTCATGGATTGTAGAGCATCATTTTCTTCCATGCCTTTTTTTCTCAAAATTGCTTTGGTTCAAGTCCTGATTTTGTGAGGTTTGGACTGGCAATAGTCAACAAATGCAGCCTGCTTCTGTTTTCACTGTGGGTCTGCAGGGTCTGTCTGGCACTGCCCAAGCTGGAGAACCAGGAGCTCCGAAGGGGAAGTTTCCCTTTGCAGCCATTCTGCACAGCAGAGCAAGGCATGAACCATGTCAAAGAGGGACTCTGTCAGCCACCCTTTTGCAGAATAAATGTTGGTGCATCTGTTAGGAAAGACAAAGAGAAATGTTGGCACCAAAGAAACTCCAAGGTCTGACACTGCTGAGCATAGACCAGCTCTGCTTTCTGCAGTTACATCTGTTCAACTGAGTGAAGTGTTGATGACCAAGGAGGAGGGCAACGTGACATTGACCAATGCGTGACTCCTTTCAGACATTTGAAAAAGCTGTCAGGCATGCACCAGGTCTCCAGATATGTCCCTGTTTTCTGTGGGAGACAGCAGG